TACTCTAACCCAAGCAATTTAAGAAGGCAGATATAGGAAAATCTCTGTGAGATCAGTATTAACTAGGTCTCTAACTAGGTCTCTATAGGAGATTCCAAGCCAGCCAGAGCTACATAGTGAGGCCCTGGTGTGTGTTTGTTTAAAAACTATAAGAGAGATTATTTGGCTCAATTCCAGGTTATAATTTATCAATGTGGGGAAGTCAAGGTAGCAGGAACATGAAACAGTTCCACTCACAGTCAAGAAACAGCAAAGAAGGTTTTGCTTGTTTGTTTTTTGGTTTTTATTTTTCACAGTTCAGAACCCTCTGATTAGGGAATAGTACCACCCACAATGTGCTGATCATCCCCACTTCACTGTAATCCAGGTAGTCCTTCACAGACCTGCCTACACACCAGTCTGACTAGATAATCTCTCACTGATGATTCTAGATTGTACCAAGTTGACAATTAAAACCATAACAATTGGAAATAAATTTAATGGTGGAAATGAATGCTCTGCCATGTTATGGAACACTAATGAAAGAAGTTGAAAAGAACACAAAACAAATGTTCACGGTTGGGAGAATTAATACTGTTAAGCTGTTGATCCCACACAAAGCTGTTATGAAGTAATCCTTTTGCACACTGTAAAGATTTGACACTCAAATTGGTTTGATAAAAAGCTGACTGGTGGGTAGCCTGGCAGGAACAACCAGGTAGCCTGGTGGAACATGGTAGCCTGGTGGAACAACCAGACTAAAGATGTTGGGATGAAGAAGGGCAGAGTCAGAGGAGACACCAGCAGAGGCAAAGGAAGCAGGACATGTAGAAAATGAGGTAATAAGCCATGAGCCACGTGGCAGAGGGTAGATAAGAAATATGGGCTGGGCTGGAGAGATGACTCAGAGGTTAAGAGCACTGACAGCTCTTCCAGAGGTCCTGAATTCAATTCCCAGCAACCACATGGTGGCTCACAACCATCTGTTATGAGATCTGGTGCCCTCTTCTGGTGTGCAGATATGCATGGAAGCAGAATGTTGTATACATAATAAATAAAATCTTTCCAAAAAAAGACAATATGGGTTAATTTAAAATGTAAAAGTTAATTGGGGCAGTGGTGGTGGCACATGCCTGTAATTCCAGCACTTGGGAGGCAGAGGCAGGAGGATCTCTGTGAATTCAAGGCCACTCTAGTCTACAAAGCAAGGTGTAGGACAGCCTAAACTTGTTACAGGATAGCTTAGGCTTGTTACTAACTAGCTCGTACAACTTAAATTAACCCATATTTCTTATCTACTCTCTACCACATGCTGGTATGTTTTTTTCAGCAAGTCACACTCATTTCCTCCTTCCTCTGTGTCTGGATATCGACTCCATGTCTTTTTCTTCCCAGTATTCTGTCAGTCATGGTCTTTCTACCTAGCCATTGGATAGCTGGCTTTTAATTAGCCCAATAAGACCAAAACATCTTCACAGTGTACGGTGTACATAGCACACCAGCCCAGGGATGGCACTAGCTACAATGGGCTGGGTCCTCTCCTCATCAATCATTAGTTAAGAAAACGCCCTACAGGCCAGTCTACAGAGGGATCTAGTGGAAGCATTTTCTTAATTGAGGTTCCCTTGTCTCAGAATACTAGCTTATATCAAATTGACACAAAACTAACCAGTACAATAGGTTTATGCCACTTCACTCATCTGTGAATTTTTTATAGAATCTTAAATATAGTAGAGACTTTTTAAAATGAGAGGTTAGTCTAGAAACTGTGCAAAACTGGATTGAGGACCTTGGAAAGACGGAGCCTATAATAAAACAAAAGCAGTCACTGTAGCAAAGGATATAGGAAACAAAGATAACATGAAGTAGGGTGAAAATGCAGGTGTGATAGCCTTGCCGTGGTGGCAGAGCACACCTTCAATCCCAGCACTCAGGAGGCAGAGCTAGGTAGATGTCTGTCAGGTGTGTTGGCTCTCTCACCCGGGAGACAGACAGGAGAATCCCCTTATTAAGTTCCAGGCCAACATTGCTACATAGTAAGATCCTGTTTTACCCCTTTGCCTCCCCAATAAAACACAAATGACACAAACGATGATATTAGTTGTTTCATGATTAGAAGAAGATGTTGCAAAATATGGAGAAAATTGAAGATTAAATATGTTCCCAAATTTTATGTGTAAAATGTGTATATGTAGTTAATATACACGTGTGTCCAAAGTGGCGGCCAGAGGTGAATGTCAGGAGTGTATTCCTTTATTACTTCTATACCTCATTTTTGAGACCAGTTCTTTTGGTTCACCTGGAGCTCACAGATTTAGCTAGACTAATAGGCCCTCAGGGCCCACCTCTATCTTTCTCCCCAGCACAAGGATTACAATGCACATCACTTTGCTCAGCTTTTTACATGGGTGCTAGATACTCATGCTTACATAACACGATTTTTATTGCCAGCACCGGTTCCGGTTCCAAGTACTGAATCTGGTTTTTTTTTTTTTTTTTTTTTTTTTTTTTTTTTTTTTTTTTTTTTCGAGACAGGGTTTCTCTGTGGCTTTTAGAGGCTGTCCTGGAACTAGCTCTTGTAGACCAGGCTGGTCTCGAACTCACAGAGATCCACCTGCCTCTGCCTCCCGAGTGCTGGGATTAAAGGCGTGCGCCACCAATGCCTGGCTCAAGTACTGAATCTGATAGAAGGGATTATTGGTAGTAAAATGTAGAAGATATGGTTTATTTTGTTTTAGGAGATGGACTCTGATAAAATTAGTTTTAGATCTTCCATATGGCATTCAAGATATTTAGCATGTTTAATGGGTCTTGGGGCTGAAAAGATGGCTCCTTGGTTAAGAGTACTTGTGCTCTTGCAGAGGTCTGAGGTTCCAGTCCAAACATTCATATAGTGACTCACAGCCACCCCCAATTCCAGTTCCAATGGAAGCAAAAGGCATGCACATGGTGCACACAGAAGCATGCAGGCAAAATATTCAGATGCATAATATAAAAAGAAATCTAAAAAGCAGTTTACAAAAAAGAATGGGCTTTATTTTGTATGGGGGGGGGCCTGCACATGCCAGAATGGGTGCATTAGTCTGCATGTGGAGGGCGGAAGTGAACCTTGGGTTTACTCTCAGGAGCCATCCATTTTGTTTTTTGGGGGATTTTTGTTTGTTTGTTTGTAATTTGAGCTAGGATTTCTCAGTGAACATGGAACCAATTAGACTAGGCTGGCTGTCCAGCAGGCTCCAAGGATCAGGAATCAACCTGTCAGTTTTCTGTCCAAGTGATGCTGAAGACTAAGTCCAGGGACTTATGCATGCTAGGCACACTCTACCACATTCCCAGCACAAGAGTCAAACATTTCACAGTTTCATTGCTGACTTATAGAAACCTTTTAATTCTTTAAAATTTACATATCGTAGAAAAGAATAAAGATAATCATTAAAACCATAAAAAATAGATTCTGTAATGGGATTAATCAGCAAAGCATCAGCAATTCCAAGTAATTGTTTTAAATCTGCACTAAAATTGACACACAGATCAGCAGTATTCTTGCACTCAGCAGGAAACCATCTAATTTTGTCATAATTTCAATAAACCTGAAGCAGAAAACTGCTTCCTTTAGTCCTTTGGTCTTCTTTATGTTGTATCTTAACAATCAACTAGAACATTACAAGTCCAAGTAGTACTTAAATAGGAAACTGCTTTTTATCATCTTGTAAGATGTGTAACTGATTCTGATCCTTTAAGATTTATTTGTGTGTGTGTGTGTGTGTGTGTGTGTGTGTGTGTGTGTGTGTGTGTGTGTGTGTGTCTGCTACTTCCATCATGTGGGAACCAGAGATTGAATTTAGCTTTCAGATGTGGCAACAAGGGTCCTTACCCACTGAGCCTGGTGCTTGAGAAGACCAGAAGAGGGCCCTGGGTCACCTGGAACTGGAATTACAGAAATTACAAGGCCCTAGGATCCTAACCCGGTCCTAGAACAGCAAGTGCTCTCAACTCCTGACAATCTCTCCAGTCCCAATATTCTGATTTGTTTGTTTATTTGCTGTTTTTTTTTTTTTTTGAGACAGGGTTTCTCTGTCCTGGAACTCTGTAGGCCAGACTGGCTTCAAAATCACAGACATCTGCTTGACTCTGCCACCCAAGGGCTGGGATTAAAGGTGTGCACCAAACTGCCCGGCTGATAATCTGATTCTTAGCATTACATTTTATATAGTCCTTAAACTCCAGTCCTTTATGTTTTTACACTGTATAATGTGTATAGCATCTAAAATTGCACTTTGGTCAAAGGGGAATGTGCTTTCAGTGGCTATTAAACAAACTAAATCCAAATTTTTCCAACTGTAGGGAAACTCTCATCTTTTGGGGCCTCAGGGATCAAAGGTGGTGCCCACTATGAGCTGAGACAAGTGCCTGCATGAACTCTGAGTTCTTCTGCCAGCACTTAAGTGCCAGTTGTGACTCATTACAAGGACCTATTACTGTCTCCATGTGAGGGTTCTCAGGGAATTCTACCAGAAAAGACCCCCTAATTGAGTATTTTTTTATTATATTCATTTTATTTATTTTATGTGTGTGTGCCTAGAGATTGAGTCTAGAATGTCAAGCTCAGAAACAAGAGCCTTTACCCACTGAGCCATCTCCTGGCCTGGTGTATTTATTTATTTATTTTTTAAAATTTCCATGCTTGTTTTGGCAGTATATATATACTAAAATTGGAACGATGCAGAGATTAGCATGGTCCATGCGCAAGTGTAACAAGAAAACATATTTTTAAAACAAAACAAAACTCGCATATGTGACTGAACCATCTTACCCCCTGGGAGCAACTTTCCAAAGACCTCAGCAACCTCCATTGGGGCCAGGCCCCTTTAAGGCCTTTCCTCATCGCCGGGGCGGAACCGGAAGCGCAAGGACGCGGTGCCCAACATGGCGGCCGCCTGGCCCGCGGGTCAGGCTTCCCCAGCGGCGGGGCCTCCGGGCCTCCTCCGCACTCTGTGG